CTACGATATTTTCTTTTCATCGTATTTCACCTTCTACATATTCAGAAGACATGCAATACATCAAGAAAGAACTCGTGGTTTTATTTACCAACATTTTCACGCCTTACCTCCTCCCTTCCGCCCCCATGCAATGTGGGCGCTTCTCCCGTCACAGTCACCCCTTGCATTTTTCACTAACATGTATTATGACGGCACACACAGTCCAGGATGAAAAATAGCGCTGCGGTCCACCGTCAGGACCTCTCCGTAACCTAGTTCACCCCATCAGCGGCGAGTGCCACCACGTTTCTATGGTAGCGACGTTCAGTACAAAAGAGCATCCCCAAAAGAGGCGTCCGTTCCCTTTCGTATCTTACAGAGGTTATCACCTTATCCCAGTAGCGATTCTTCTGGATTCTAGTCCGGTCAAGGATCAAGAATAACGGGTAACTGTTGCGCTTGATTTCCCCTCAGTCTGTGTGACAAAAGCATCGCACGCTCGAGACGGAGCGATGGCTGGACAGCAGCGCGCGCATCATATTCGCGCCTCGCGATGCACAGCTGCTCTGTCGAAGGCTGCCGATCACCGTGTGTCGTAATCAGTGGCGGCGAGATTAATCTTTGATTATATTCTCTCTACGTTTTAATTGAACTCGACATGATGAAATGACGGAATCCTCAGACTCTCCTTCCCGAGCATCTCGTATTTTCCACTCAACCTCCTGTCACCTGAACGGTCTCCTTGCGGACTTCACTCTGACGTCATCCTTAAACGCGCCTTCAAATCCTAATAATTGGCCAGTTCTTACCAGCCCGCTGACAGCGTGTGCAAGCCTATGGTTTTAAATTTAGGTCCTATTAGTGGTTTAGTTTTCGTTTAGCCTAGCTTGTTTAATAGTAATACATCGTTTTTATATATAGGCCTATCTACAAGTTTAAAGCTGCAGTAGGCTATTAACTAAAGACAAACGGGCAACCCTTGTCTTATTGAATGTGCACTAATAGTGTAGGCCTACTTCAAATCTTAAACAGCATATATAAAAACCTTTGCAGATAATTTAACAGGCTATTAATTATAAGCTATAAAATACCACTTTTACTTAAAGAGCATACACGACTGTGACTATTTAAGAACACTTTTTAATAATAGCGATTTACTGTAAAGTAAAACGTTTGATTATTTTTGACTATTATTTGACTGTTTTAATAAGTACACTTATTTTGATGTGTACATGTAAAATATTTAACTGTATACTGTTATTATAACCTACATTTAATGTAATAGACTATTTTAAATGTAGCTACTAAATTGTAACATTATAATTACAAATATATTTAACTACTTTTAAAAATCAATAATAATACATTTTATGAAATTACACATAAAGATGTATAAGTCCTATATACGTATGTGCAGACAAAAAAGCTCTCTTAAGTTCAACTATTTGAATTTAATAAGGCCTATAAATTTAAATTACAATACATTACAAATAACATGCAATTAAGTCTCCAAAAATATTACATGCGGTTTATAGTATACTTGATAATAAATATTTTTTAAGTAAGCTAAAATGTAGGCAACTTCACTTTCACAAGAGAATATGTTCAAAACAAAGACCAGAATTTTATTTTTGTGTGTACAATGACTTTCATACGCTTCAGCATATTCGATACAATACATTCAAATTATTTTCCTAATTCCAATAATTCTATAAGGGATAAGCAGATAAGCAGTAATTCTGCCTAGAATTACTGACTTACAAAAGTGCATGTAGAGTGGAAGAAAATGATTAATCATAATTCATCAATAACTAGGTCCTCTATTTTTTTCTTCAGCACTTTATGTGGGGGGTTTCGGGTGAACACGGTGGTGTGTTACCTCCAGATGTGTAACCTGTCAGTTTATGGTTGTTTTTTGTCATTATGAGTCTCTGTGCATGTCCAGCTAGAAGATGATTCTGCAGACCGTTCCGTGTCTGTGCAGTCAAGCCACACTCCTCACACACATATAGTTTGTCCCTACGCTCTTTGTAGGCATATTGTTGAGTAACAGCATGGATCTTCCTCAGGTGAGATTCTAAGGAGCAGCGCTGAGTGAAGGCTTTAACACACAAAGTGCACTTATAGGGTCTCACACCTGTATATTGTAAGTTGAGAGGAAAGTTAGAGATGAAAATATACAAACTTGCATATTTAAGCATGTAAATGTACTTTTTTAATTTAAATGCAAACTTACCCGTATGAGTGCGTACATGCCTCTTCAAGTCAAAAGCATCATTAAATCCTTTTCCACAGTGCTCACAAGAGTACTTTTTTGTTTCACTATGGCACTTCACATGGCGTTTCAGCATACGTGCTGTAGTGAATGTCTTCTGGCACACCTGGCAGGACAACACTGATGCAGCGGGTGGTATATCTGCTAATATGTTTGCATTATCTGGGATGACTGGAGATGGCATATTACCTGTAGTTATCTGAAAATGGGAGAAGAATGGAGAGAGATGTTCTTGACACACATACACACACACAAAAAAATCATTAAAATGTGTTTGAAACCAAAAGAACTGTCTCACCTTTATCTTTGAGTGTGAGTAAGGCAGGCTTTGGGTCCTCATGTGGCATTCTGGCTTGTGATCAGGATGACCCTGTGCAGCAGAAGATGGCAGCTGTGCAGACAACACATGTGATTGAACCTGTAGAAATGTGTTGTTTTTTTGTGCAGTTGTGAAGCAGGAGTACTCTGCAATGCTGCCCTCCGAGACTTCATGCACGTATGGTGGGAAAATGGACTCTATAGGGAGCACCAACAGCAAAAAGATTTTTATTAATAATAATAATATTTTATATAGCGCCTCTCTGCAAACTCAAGGTCGCTTTACAATAACAGAAGAGATGACAGCAGACAGAAAAACTAAATACAGATAAACATGAAATCCATGGCATGAAACCGATCATACAGTCAGAGATCAGAGAAACAAGAAATGAAAAGATATGTTTTAAGGTGGGTTTTGAAATCTTGTAAGGAAGAAAGATCACGAATGTTTGGAAATGTGTTTTTAAGTCAGAGCAGAGAGAGCAACAGATTTTGACTGGTCACTGTGTTCAGGTACGCTTTTTTTAATTCCTCATTTAGTTCCATGCATTAAGTTATTTTTATTATTATTATTTAAAGTATGAAGTCTTTAAAATTATTTAATGCAAGTAATCAGTTCAACATCACAAGTTACCACAATATCAAGTAATTTATAAACATTTTAAAATATAAAAATATAAAATAAAAAACTGTATAAAACAATTTTACTCAGAATACCTTATCATAACATTTTATATAACGAGAAACTAGTTTTCTTAGTTTAGTCTTTGTCAAGTGATTTGTTTCCAACAACAACCATCGTCAATATAGACCAACAATTAATTATGTAATAAAGTAATTATGCATTAAGTATTCAATTCTGTTAACTCCCCATGCACGCAGTGACACGCGAACACTATCGAGACACTCACCAGGTATGTAAACGTCCCCTAGCGCGGAATCTGGAATCTCACTCCAGCTTCTTTTTTCAGCAGCGATGTTCACTTTTTTGACCAGGAATGCGCGAGGCATTTTCGAAAACGCTAGCGAATTTTTTATGTTCGTTTAAGTTCCTAGATATGTTTTAAGCGGATCCTCTCGCAACCGACAATTCTACAGTTATCCACAATTCAACTATCGTTTTCCTTATAACAAGGAAGCCGCCAGGTGAGGTTGCGCATGCGCAGAAATATAACGGCGCAGTGCAGTTAGGCCTACAGGTAAAACCGGTTCTCACAGTAATGTTAATGTAACCTTAATGAGAAAGGTAAACGGTTTTTAAATATTAACATGTTCGTGTTAGTTTTAACACAGTGTAATGTAATGTTAGTCCATTTAGCCTAGGCTACATTTTTTTCTGAAGCATGTCTTCAGGTTTTCTGTAGGGTGTGGGTCTGCTCCTTTGTTTATGTAGCCTATGTTGTCTGTCTGTGTGTATGGAGGTGGGTCTGTGTTGTTAGGGTGTATTGCTGTAACAGTAGGCCATCAGCAGGGGGGCAGGCGTGTCCTGTCGCATAAATTAGTCTACTAAAGTTTTAAGACACCGTTAGTTATTAAAATATGTATATATATGGAATATGGAAAGAGGACCAAGGAGGAACTGGTGCTTTCCATGTTGCTACATTTAGACAATACAGTTTACTTTGTAACCATACTGTAATGCGTTTAGTTCACATCAAACCTTTGTATGCAAATTAGTTTGCAGCATGTTAATGTTTTAAAAATCTGATAAGAGTGAACAGCCCTCCCACAAACACACACACACAATGAAAACACAAACACACCTCTTATCTCTATCTGTTTTTAAAGTACACTGAAAATGAACACAGTGATCATACACAATGTGTCCGTGCTCTTTGTTGATGCTACATCAGTGAATAAAAGGGAATATAGGTAGCCTACTTTTAGACAAGGTTTATTTTAATACATTGCGGGAAAGCAGTTTTGCATGAGACCGGGTCACTCTTTTTACTCTAGTGAATATGTAGGTTTAAGCCACTTTCAGTACAGGCATACCTTCATGTACAAAATAAATAAAAATAAAAATAGCGAAGCATGTCACAGCCTGGCATTAAACAGCCCATTAAGCTTTTCGGCAAAATGTAGACTAATCATTAAAACAATTTTGAAACATTTAACACGTAGATAAGTAACAGCTAGGCTATTATATGGGGGAAAACATTGTCTTGGCCAACAGTTTGTAAGAAATAAATTGCATACACATATTATTATATAAACATATAAGCTAATTAAAAATAGGCCTGTTGCATAAACTTTTGAAAAAATGTAAAGTTTGCCCAGATATTTACAATTCTCAATATTTTATTAATAAATAATAATAAACAATTAAAAAAAGTTTTGGAAAACATAAGTGTTGTTTGTCTGTAGAATATATGGAAGTGGAAGATCTCTTAGAAAAACGGAGAAACGTGAACTGGAGCTATTGGACAAATGAGGCTTCCGTAGTTTGAACGAGCACAAACATGGCGTCGACCTGGTACCGTTCAAATAGCTCAGCATGTTAGATAAAAATTATTGTGTCAGAATATACAGATATGTGTCATGTTTGAAATGTCAGTATTTCAGAGAATTACTGAAAAGTATTCGTTTTGTTAAACCATGGGTATTCAGTGCTTATTGTTCGGTCTAAGGTCCTCTCGAACATTTATTTCAGCTTATCGACTGACATGTATTCAGTCTTCGAGAGCGCTCGTGTCTACAGCGACCCAGTCCGTTAAAGTCAATGATATCACAAGCATCTTGAAGCCACTAACGTTACGTTGCTTGCGCGTTAATTCAGTCAGGAATGCCTATACCTTTACGTCTACTGCCGTCGCAAAGGACGTGATTCTCTTCGAACACGACCGGACGCGTTTCTTCAGACTTTTAGCCATATTTTGTGGCGGCCAGTTTCTCTTCTGGGCATATCTGGCTCACTTTGCTTTCACAAGTCTTCGAGACACAAGAAAAAATAGTGGTGAACCTCAAAAGGTCAGAACTGAGTTAGGAGGGCTTTTCAGTTTTGATATGAACCTTGGTTCAAATGCCTGGAGGTATGGATTCACTCTTGGGTGCCTAATTATTGGTAAGCCTTAACTCTTGATTTTTGACAATATTGCATTTTTATGTATTTCAGCTCTCTAAATATAATTTTTCTGTTGTAGGCGGAGGAATCGTTGGCCTGGCAGTATTGTTCAGCCGTCGTTCTGTGAGTCGTGTAATTCTTCATAAGGGAGGTGGAAAAGTCACAGTATCTACACAGTCACCGCTGGGACCTCTCAGAGCTCACCATCTAACTGTGCCTTTGACTCAAGTGACCTGTCATGCACACAGACAGGAATCACCTTCATTTATCCCTCTTAAAATCAAAGGGTACAAGTTCTACTTCCTCTTGGACAAAGAAGGGACACTAAACAACCCTAAACTATTTGACATTACTGTTGGGGCCTACAGACCCTTATAATATGTCATACATACCCTTGTGAGTCTGCGCTCCTCTGTTGATGTATCATACATCTGCTGTTCGTTTTGGTTTATGTTGCCTTGTGGGGGAGGAGGGGGGGGCATGCACTGAATTTAAAAGAGGAATAAACCGTGAAACTTTTCTGTTCATAAAACTTTTTGCCTGGGATTTGTGCTGACAAGCTCATTCTGCCATCTGAATTATGACACAGGCTTAGTCATATGGGTCTGACTAAGATAAAATTATAGTTCTGTCTTTGCATTTTTTTTCAGCAGCATTGATGTCTGACTCAGTTAAGTAAGGAGTAATTGACGATGGGCCATTGAAGTATTAGAAGGTAATGCACACCCGAGGTGGTAATGCAGCCACGACATGAAGCGGAATGACCGTTACACCTCAGGTGTGTGTTATTTTCTAATAATTCAATAGAACTGGGTAGAGTCAATTATTCCGCTTATACTAAAGTTACCACACCTCAAGACATTGTTCAGATGTTGTATTTCAAGCTATTTGTCAGGTTTTGTCCTTAAAACGTTCTTGTTTGCTCTTGTTTAGTATAATTGAAATTATACTACGGGGCTGTTAAATGCTTGAAACTAATTGGATGACAAACGCTCTAATGTGTTAACACTGAGAGACACACTCTCTAATAATGACTAGCTCTGAAATGACATTTTGAAATTAGCAATAGAGGCGTAGAATGAGATGCATAAGAAATGAGTCCTACAAATTCTGCTTCGTCTATCTATCTATCTATCTATCTACACTTAAAAATAAAGGTGCTTCACGATGCCATAGAAGAAACTTTTTTGTCTAAATGGTACCATAAAGAACCTTTAACACCTTTAACCTTTCCTTTTCACAAAAGGGTCAATATCACTGTAGGGTAACTTTTGGCGTCCTACTCATTTGCCATGATAACAACATAAAAATTACTAAAATGGTGTGTTATATTAGGCTAAGTTTTTATAGGCTATTCATAACAAAAGCATTACTTGGCTATTTCGATACATTTTCTAGATTTTTTTTAGTTTTGTGTAAGAGGGTCCGTGTTATTTTGCTATGTCATGCACTGTTCATTCAATTTGAATGATAGTAGAATATTGTCAAATCATAAAATGAAAAAAAATTTGTTCTCTTAATATTTTGTTAATTTCTATTGATCATTTGGTAATAAAAAAGAAGAGTTTGTCCATGTCCCTTGAATGGTTGTCCACCCTGTCGTATTGGGGAATCCGCCCCTTTAAGAAAAGGCCATCCACTTTAGTGACATCAGGACAACAGATTTTTTGTCTCTTCAGTGGCGGGAATTTCAACGGCTGAGGTGAGTAAGTTGGTGACTTTTCAACTGACAAATTTTATTTTTTCTTCTTTGCCAAAGCTTAACATGTCCACCCTGTCAGCATAAAATATGCCAGAAGTGATTAGAATGCAGTGTTTTCAAAATATGTACGTTTAAATATACCAAATTCTCTTAAACAACCAGACTAAATATTTAGCAAGTCACAGTTTGTTGTAAGCTAATATGCTAATTGAAGCTCAAAGTGTCCACCCTGTCGGCCACTTAAGACTCGATAGAGTGGACATACACATCACAGGGTGGACATAGCATTCATTTGTAGTTAATATTGCTAAAAACTAAACTGAACACATGTCAATGTGATTGAGGTTGTAATTTTATTATTTATACTATTTTTTTCGAAGTTGAATAAATGTTTCATTGTCATATTTTGTCATGCTTTGTGTGTTCTGCATTATGTGTCCACCCCATTATGTGCTGGTCCACCCTGTCATCTTGATATTTTACAATAATATTTTAAATAATAATTCAATCATATCTATATAATCCAGTGTGTTCAATAGGTGTGGGAGCAATAACATGCAAACAAAAAACTGCATCCAAATATCACAGTTTTCTCCAAATAAGAAAATAGTTTCTTTAAAAACACATGGTGTTTATAATTTATATATTTATATTTACACATTTATAATTTGAAAGCAAACAAATAACCCTGTTTAGGAAAGGGACATCATACCTTTCAGAAAATATAATTTGCATCTTAATTTTACAATGAAAACGTATTTAACAGTAATATATATGTCCATGACAGGGTGGACATATGGTTTATGCGTCGAATAATGGCCCATAATTATCTAAAAAAAAAATGTGTGGGAGCTCAGCTAATATGTTTCTATAGTACTTGAGTGTCTACTATTTATGACATGACATAAAGCGAATGGGAGATTAAAACCAAAATTGAGTATTGTGAGGGTTCAAAGGCACTCTATTGACCCAAAGGGTTCTTCGTGGCGAAAGAAGGTTCTTCAGATTATAAAAAGGTAAGAAAGAGATGGTTCTTAGTGGAACCAAAAATTTATTCTATGGCATTGCTGTGAAGAACCTTTTAAGCACCTTTATTTTTAAGAGTACGTTTCAAGACATTTTTAGGGTTACTCTATTGACCAACAAAATGTGCCTAAAAATGTGTGATATTGTCAAAATAGATGACCCTGACACACAGATACAGTGATCTAAAAACAATTGATTTGGTTGATAAAAGTTATATAGATAGGCAGACAAAGATAAACATTTTAAAATAAACTTACTAAAGTTTTTTTTCATTAATCATTGGATATGTATGCCTGATGCACAAAAATAATTGTGAAATGAAATAATTATTAAAAATAGTTTTTTTTTTTCCAAGTCATTTTTCCTCATTTTAATGTATTCTTGAATTCAGTACAGACCAGCCCGCCATGAAACATAGGCATGTATCTGTTCTCTACCCAGTGCAGTGATTCACGGATGTTCTACCAGTTCCGCAACGGTTCGCTTATTCATGCATTTCAAACCTACACGTCACTTGGCAAAAGATGTCTGTAAGTGAAATTCAACATGTGAAGGGTGTGAGCTATGGAAGCTTCTGTAGCTCTCAAACAACAAGGATTAAATTTAGGATATTTACTTCGTTTCCTAGCGAATATCATTTCAGTGACGGTTATTTGGCGCTGTTGGCAAGAAGGTCTTCATAACTGAAAGACATTAGAAACACATTAGTGGCCACAGAGGAGAAAAGGCGGTAGATTGGAAAAGATAGATGCTCCAGAGATGGGGAGGAGAGAGAGAGTGGGTGTGAGGAGGCGCTGAAACACTGTAAGAAAACTTGTAGCACGTGTTTTGATTTATTTTTTCATTATTCGCTCTGATGGATTTATCCTAGTTTTGGCTACCGAATTTGTGCCTTTGTGGGCCTGTTTTGCAATTAACAGCACGGGAGATGGGTTTAAGCGAACAGAAATAATATGAACTCAAAGAATAAGGATCGGGTTTGATCATAATGAATCAAAATGAAGGGAGAGAATCGTATTATCGTATGCATGATTCCCAAATTTCTCCAGCATGGATGGACCCGGAGAACTCAACGGCTCATCACGTGCGTCCGGTACGTATTTGTTTATTTATTTGTTTATTAATATTTTAAGATATTTAGTGTCATATATTCTTAAAATCAACCAAATCTAGAAGAAATACAATAGAGCAGGAAATAATTGTTAGCTATTTTGAATATGAAAATTCTTATAATTGTTTTTGAGCCTAAATATGTATAATTATAACCATTATTACATTTTTCTTTATTTATTTTCATGTATTTATTTTTTGTTATTTACTTTTTGCAGAATCTTACTGAGGGCACTACATCCAGCCCAAATCTTGATGTAATTACATCTAGTCCAGATCTTCAGTGGCTTCTGCAGTCCTCTCTACTTTCCCAATCAGAGACCAACTTGGGAACATTTTCCTCATTCTCACCCACCACCATGCCCAACTGCCCCTGTTTGTCGCAGTGCTCCAGTCCAGACCCACCCTGTAATGGAGCAGTGGGGGACAGTTCAGTAGGACATGCTAACAAACATGTAAGTTATTGGAATTTCTGATATTTTCAGAGTTTGGAATGCAGAAAATAGTGAAAGTAAACTTGAGGGGTTCCGGTGATTCATTCATTTATGGTAAACGAGTGAAATGACTCACACCTGAATCACAGTGGGGCATGTGGAGTGAGTCAGCGCTGTAGTATTTGAGCGGGAATCTTAAAGCGCAGGCTCAGAAGGATGGATCATGTTGTCATTGGTGCCAGTGGATGAGTAACAGGAACAGCATATTTGGAATTGGGTAGAACTGCTGTGTGTTTGTTTTCTTGATATCAACCATAAGATGGCAGCACCATCACTCTTTTAGACTGAAGCTTGGTTTTTAAATAAAATTTGGAATTGCCTTGCTAAAACCCTCTCGGCATTTATAGATGTCCTCTGAGGAACTTGACAGGATAAGGATCCGCAGGGAAAGGAACAGAATAGCAGCTGCCAGGTGTCGGGACCGTCGTCGGATGCTTATAGACACGTTACAGAATGTGAGATTAGTACTTATTTGTGTTATAGACCATGTTTAGCCATTAGCCGTATGTCCTGAGCTTGTGCTTTCTCTTTCAGGAGACGGATCATTTGGAACATGTGAAGACTCAACTGGATGAAGAGATCGCTGCTCTTGAAAGGGAGAGAGAGAGGCTGGAGTTGGTTTTTGAGGCACATATGCCCATCTGCAAGTTAAATGACCTAAACCCAGAATAATTACTGATGCTGGTCATGTTTAGTGCTGAGTCTGCTGGTTCAGATCAGATGTGGATTATATAACATAATAAGCGTATATTTGTTAAAGAAAGCAAAATGTTAAAATCTATTTCAGTGATACCTTGAGAATTATTATCTTGCATGCACAATTTGTTTCACTTGTTTTCATAATAAACTACAGATTCAAATGTTGTTGCTTCTCTATCTAATGATTGTTTGTACCAGGGTGTAGCAACAGGTGTAGACCTTGTTAGAGTGTAAGCTCCATATATTATGTTTATTATTTAGCTAATATACGTATATATGCTGTTCAAAAGTACAGTAAAATTAGCAATGTTTTGAAATATTATTACAATTGAACTGTTTTCTATTTTAAATTTATTTTAAAATATAAATATTCCTGTGAGAGCAAAGTTGAATTTTCAGCAGCCATTTACTCCAGTCTTCAGCGTTTTTCAGAAATCATTTAGAAATTGTTCCTCAAGAAACATTTATTTTATTATCAGTGTTGAAAAAGGGTTGTGCCACTTAAAACATTTTTGTGGAAATTGATATATATATATATATATATATATATATATATTAGCATTCTTGGATTAACAGAACATTTAAATAAACAGCATTTATCTGAAATTACATTTTTGAAACAATAAATATTTACTGCCAGTTCAGTCCTGCTTTATAAAACGTAATTTCTTTTAAACTGTGACACCAAACTTTTAAAGAGTTGTATATAGCTAATAGAAATGTGTGAATAATATTATTTTTATAAATATTATAAATGATACTAAATATAGAAAATATATTAATATTACATAGGCCTATTATTACATTAAAACCTAATAAAATATTAGTTTTTAGCATTTAGCATTTAATAAACTATATTTAAAAATTATATCACATTTTATAAATATTATATGTTACATTCACAATATCACAATTTTATTTATTTACTTTTACAAAATATCACTAAATTATATGATTATTCCAACATCGACTGAAGCTCCACTTTAACATTACAACAAATAATAACTTTTGGGAGAAAATCAATACCCAAGCAAACATTTCTTCAAGACTTGGTTTGATAATGTGCAGACTGAGTCAAGTAGCCTATTAACATTAAATATAATTTAATTGACCAAAAATGCTTTAATACATATTTCATTACTCTGTTGTTGTAAGTTTAGCTGTTGCAGAATAAAGTAGGCTACTTGAGTATGTAAGTCTGAGCCAGACACATTACACAAACACAAAATTAAAATAATACAGCCATTAGGTTTATGTATTTCTGCACATTTTGTGTATCTATTTTTGTTTTGGTTACGACATGTGCTTTGTTTATTCCTTAACAGCAGGAGGCAGTCACACATTAGCAGACGCTCAATAACGCTGAGTGAACGCTCGACGGAGGGCAATGTCTATGGTGATTGTTGTTCAGATTGTACGGAGCACCTAAAGGGACATGGTGGTGGGAAAAAAATTCAGGGTGGGAGGAAACATTTTTTTGCGTTCTCTCGCAAAACTTTTGCGTTCCCTCGAGAAACTTTCCGTTCCCTCGAAAAAAGTTTGCGCTCTCTCACAAAGATATTTGCGTTCCCTCGCAAAACTTTTGCGTTCTCTCGCAAAGCTATTTGCGTTCCCTTTTGCGTTCTCTCGCAAAGAAACTTTGCGTTCCCTCGCAAAACTTTTGCATTCCCTCGCAAAAGATATTTGCGTTTTGCGAGGGAACGCAAACATCTTTGCGAAGGAACGCAAACGCAAAGATATTTTGCGTTCCCTCGCAAAACTTTTGCGTTCGTTCGCAAAAGATATTTGCGTTTAGCGAGGGAACGCAAACGTTCCCCAAGTGTCACCATTCCGACAGCAAGAATGATCCTGAACTAAATGAAGATTAATGTCTTGGGTATGATGTGTTTATTGGACCAATCAGATAAGAGTAACTGGAGAGTCAGCGAGAGGCTCATTTGATTGGCTACAAGAAGAAGGTGGCCCCGCCCTCCCCTTCACGCTTGCAAAACTCAGCTAGTGAGAAAACAGTGCCAAAATTGTAAGCGCAGAGAAAAGAAAGACGGAGCTGTACATATCGGTTTATTTCGGGAACGTTTTGCCCCACATGCACAACAAGTCTTTTAGACATTTGCAACAGTTTGTTTTTTTACACATAGATTGGTTCTGTGCAGTCAATCCGTTTTGCAGTTCTTTAAACTTGTTTTCGCTTGCAAATCCCTGTTCACAGGCTTGCAGTGCTTTTGACCGTCTTTTGGCGAAAAAAACGTGTCAAAAGTGTAAGCGCGGAAAAATGGAAGTCAGAAGCATGCAGATCATATTTATTTTGCGTTAGCATGAAGCTGCAGTTTCACAATACATGAATTACACTTACGAATAACAGTAAAATGCTGCAAATAATTTTTTCTTGCACGAAACGCGATTTACACCTTTACAAAGCTTCTCTTGCGCATGCAAATGTAATTTACGCTTACAGTCTTATGTACACTTCCACAACTCTTACCCTGCGTATGCAAATCTTTTTGACGTCATTCTACCTTCATACCATGTCCCTTTAGGGGCTCCGTAAAATTGGGTTAAACCAGAAACTGGATCCAGACGATTGTGAGGAGTTTGACAGCTTTGCACATATTACAGTATCAGTCAGCGTATTATTTGTTGTGTTCATGCATAAAGCGCATAAAGAGATCAGCAGTGCGAGAGCGATACCGCAGACGCCACTCTGCAGTATTTTAACATCAGCTAACAGTGTCTTCTTTGACTTACTTTCCAGTGCAAAACATTAATAAACGGTAAGTTTTCATCATCAGCTTGACGTCATCTTTCTTTGAGCAAGATTGTAACCTAAGCAGGTTACAGTTCTCATGTATCATTTTAGATTGCTTTTTAAATCTCTGCACATCTTATAAAAACACCTATAACATAAACAGTCTATTACAACAGTTTGTGTAGCAAATGCACTGTAAAAATCCATTTGGAGATTCCATTTGTTGTTACAAGTCAAGGTTATGTTTGACCACTGTATGTATATCAAATTATTTTTTTTTACAACGTTTTATTATATAATTTTAAATATAATTTTTTATGCTTTTTAAGAAAATGTCTATGGAGGTAGATGTGTTTGTGGGGAACACCACTGTCCTGGATGAAGATGTGTACCAGCTGTGGTTGGATGGACACACAGGTTAATACGTGATTTCTATATGTTGCATATGAGTTTGTCATAGACACGTAGTGCTTGCTTTTAATGTTTAACACTTGAGGTAATGATATATTCTACATGTTGGTATATAGTCACAGATGCGCTGAGAATACGGATGGAAACAGGTGCCTTGCAGGAGTGTGAAGCCAATGCCGAAGTTCTGCATGTTGTTTTTTTAGTTTTAGTTGTTAGTTAGGGCATCATTACTGTTTTGCTAAGCTTATTTGTTTGTTGCAATATTTGTCATGTAGGTGTTATGAGTTTGATCGTGTGTTTGCCAGGGAGGTGCTGGGTAAAAAACTCTCCAAAGGGACCAAAAAGACTTAGACGACATCAGTTCAAAGACTGGGATTGCACTCAAGAGCTGTCGTCGACAGGTGCTGCACACTCTGGCCTCTTGTAATTTTGAATGCCTCTGAAAGAAAGGATGAATATTGCATGATTAGCAATGTTGTTTTACAGAAATGTTAATTTTTATTATTATTATTAATAATAATATTATTATTATATACATATTTATTTACACATTTTTTGTCAGTGCACAGTACTTAAATATTAAATGACTGATTTTTTTATTATAAAGATGTTTACAAAAAATGTCCTATTAGTAGTATTTTAGTACTAATTTATTAATGTATTATTTACAGAAATTTCAGTGGGCAATACATAAAAATATTACAGCATAGTAATTGTTATTATTATTTTAGTACTAATTTATTAACATTAATTTACAGAAATGTTGTCAGTGTACAATACTTATAAATATTAAATGATTATTATTATATTCACATATATTTATTTACAGAAATGTTGATGGTGTACAGTACGGTACTGTACACCAACAACATTTCTGTAAATAAATATGTGAATAAAATAGGTTTAATATTAAATAATTGTTATTATTTTATTCACATATTTATTTAAAGTAATGTTGTTGTGTACACTATTTAAATATTAAATAATAATATATTTTGTAATTAATTTAATATTAATTAATTAATTCGTTAATTTGTTAACTAATTCATTCATTCATTCATTGGCAAGGAGATGTATTGTTTGAACCTTTCTACCATTTTCTCAGTTGTGTGTTTAAAGTGGTGGAAGAGCTAAAAGGCCCCCTGGTGGAGAACACACAGCGTCACTTTCTCCTGTCTGATGTTCTGACAAGGTGAGACTTTCACACATGTGGCCAAATGAAGCATATTGCTAGTGCTATAAAAAAGCGTCTGTCCCACCTATTGAAAATTGTGACCATTTCTAGCTTTCCAATTCAGGGGACGTAAATGTGAGCCAAACACAATATTTCGTACCTGTTCTTGTGATAAAGATGATTTACAAGAGGTTATGTACTTCAATACTGTAAATGCATGTGTGCTATTGTGACTTAATACAACCAGCTTCACCAGTGAATGCTTTTAGAGTTATAATTGAAAGCAATCGTAAACCTAGAGAACACACAGGCACATCTTAAAACGTATGTTTCTGTTGTGTTCATCCTCTTACTGGTTTGCTTGGTCTCTCTCCTCCGTTCATCTTTCTCCTCATACGCTCTCTTCTGTTCCTGGCACACTTTTCACACCCTCCCTGTCCTCTCACTGACTCAGCCATGTCTCTCTGCAGGGACTATGCTGCCATAGTGTTCTCACCGTTTTGAGACAGGGAAGAGAAAGCTACAATACTTGTCTTTCCAGGACTTTGCCTTTTGCGCTGGTCAGCTCAGCAGCTACTGGACTGTGGGAGCAGTTGGTAAGATGTTCAGCTTAAAGATAAAGTTCAAAATGAAAATGAAAAT